TTTCATCTCCTGGTGTTATAAAGGGGAGAAGTTCCTACTTGCCTTCGAAAAAATGTTCTCAGTTGTTGACATTCTTCGGGTTTCCTTGTTTCTAATGAACGCTCAAAATCCCTGAGACGCGGTAGGCGTGGCTGCGTTCTTGGACTGAACGAAGCGGCTGCTGAGCTTCACGTAAAATTTTTGATTTTTGGGACAGTTGTAATCATGTCTCTGCCCAACACAGAACAAGATGACAGTTGTCTCAAATTGAAATATCCCACGAGTAACCCATTCTATGCCATGTTCCGTTGCTGTGGATAAGGAGTGTACACCCTCCTTTCCTCCCACTCGATAGCATTTTGAGGGAAAAGTGGAGAGGTTTTCCAAAAAAAGCTTTAGTGGAAGGGGTTGGGGAATTAGGGCACGTCGTTGTTGGGGATTCCCCAAGAGGGGAGGGGGTCCGTATTTGTCCTAGGAAGAGGGGGGTGGGGTCCTTTGCAGCTTGAGAAAAATTTTGCATAGTTAGTTTTTTAATTTCACAGACGTGTAAAAAGGAGGGGGAGTCCGTAACGTGCTCCGTTGTTGGGAGGTGGGGGGGGGGTCCATATCTAACATTCTGAGAGAGCTGTTCACTCTAGGAATCGTGTGTTTTCTCTGTTTTTAATGTGCACTTATATACGCACCTCCTGCCCTGCTCATAGCAAATTTTGGGTAAAATTAGGGTACTACGAAATTCGGCAGAAAAAGGAGAGGGGAGTTGGGGAAAATCTAGGAATATACTCTACGCCCCTCCCCCCGCTCGACAGCTCGATGAGGAGGAAAACCAGGGGAGGGATCTAAAGGAGGGGTGGTTGCACGGGCTCGACCAAAATCCCTAACTAACTATGTGCCCTTTGGAATAAATTTTCACGTCAATGTTCCTATCTAGCGCACTACATATCCAGGAAATGAGGAGGGCGTGGCAGCGACTTTATTTTAATGTGATTGTGTTTTTTTTTGTAAGTTCCAGCCGCTTTGAGACATTTGTAAACCGTCCGTGTCAATCACAATCAAGACCGACAGTTGTTTCCAACATGGGAAATATCCCACGAAAACTCATCTGCGCCATGTCAAATGAAAGCACGCGCACGCGCTATCCGGAACATTGGCAATGGGCTGCCACGCTCCCATGGTTGGGTGTGGGAGGTGTGCGACGGCTTAGGGAATTGAATTGTATGGGTTTAGGGAAATGGAGAACTTCTTCAACGGATGGGAAAACCTGCAATGAGGAACAGATGCCCATTGGGGATGGAGGAGGAATCAATGATTTTCAAGTTTTTCGCCTCTTATACGTTGTACTTATGCCCTGTGTTCATTCTCGCGCTCGTAGGCCCAAGCAGGGCATGCCGTCGTTTCTGATCAATTCCTGAAAAATACGACCCCCCCCTTCCAAATTCCATCCTCAAAAAAGACCTCCCCTCCCCATGCTACCTACCACTTTCCTAGATTTCCCACTTCCTACCACTTTCCATTTTTTCCCGAAAAATTTCTGGTTTTTCCCCAAAATTTTGCTGTCGAGCGGGGGGGGGGGTCGTCAGGATTTAACTATCATTTTCAATTATCGAATATAGTTAGTTGTATGGATCTTTGGCGGTCCCTTTCCCAACAACGACCAAATACGATCCCCCCTCCCTTTATACGTCTGTGAAAAAACAAATCAAATGTCAAAAAAATTATCAAGCTACCTACCACTTTCAGACAACGACCCCTCCTCCTCGAGCGGATCAAAAATACGACGCTCCCCGTTGTGATCAAAAATCCACAACGATGGCGTGGCATGGGTGTAAAGCTGTGAAGGACGCAAGAAGTGAAGAAGCGAGGACTTTTGGTCCGATCAAAACATCCCATTCTGAAATAGGACCGCTATGAGCGGTGGGGATGGACCAGTTTCGTCGAACTTCAGTTTTCGAGTTTAGTGGTGCCTTGCGCTGATTGCAAGGCTTCAAGGAGGTAAGCAAAAAGAAAACCTCAGCAAATTAAAACCATTCCCACATCTTGGTGTGACTCCGATCTCACCTTGGACAAGATATGCAGCAAAGCGTCGGAACTCAGGGCAATTCGAAATTAATTATACTTGCAGAGAAACGCTCACCTTCTTACGAGTGATTCCCTGAAGTAAACTGATGATCTGCATAGCGTCCGGCTCCTTCGTAATCACGAAAAAGTCCACAAAAGCGCCATCAGCCATATGTTTTGTGAATAACCATCGAAAGAAACGCCGCACCACAGAGTTCTCCGGCCGTAACGTCCTTGGATCGATCACCTACAAAACGAAATTACCGTATTACTTTCAACTGGACGATTGTTACAATGCGTAAACTGTTAGAAAGTGTAGAACTCCTTTGCGGTGCGTTACTGGGTCACAGGCTTTACAGAACCAGGTACTCACTGACTTGGTCCAGTGAGCCACGTCCGTAAAGTAATCAACGTTCAACAATGGCACCAAACCAGGGTACAAGCATCGTGATGTGTGAAATGGCGGTGGTCATTACGACCCTCTCCCCTTCCCACACTACCTACCACTTTTTCTACAAGTTCCGCAGAAGCTTCCTACCACCATTTTCAAGCCCAAAATTTTCCGTCGAGCGGCGAGGGGGGGGGGTGGGGAGGGATACCATAGGTACAGTGTAAGTAGATTAGTGAAACGATGAAACAGGAATGAAAGAATCAGGCAACCCTCTCTCAGGAGTTCAAAGGGCATATGAACCGCTTCAAAAAACACCATAATGCGACCTCCACCCCCTCTGGTGAAAAGAATCAACTCTCAGAGATAAAATTTTCTCAGCCCGAGTAACGACTTCTCCCCCTCCCCTTCTCTCTTCTCTATTTAGGTTGTCCGGTAGAAGTTCTATGCTGTTGTTTTAACTTTTAATATCGTATCATTTTATATCTTCTTACACTCATCGGTATTTTAATCCAAAATAGGCACCATTCGAATCAGCACACTTTTGCCAATGTGGCAGCAGTCGAGAAATCCCATCAAAAGAAAAAACTGGGTGGTCGAGAATCCACGAAATCTGCGAAGGTCTTTTTTGCCTGGTCCTGTTTGATGAAGTATTTCTCAGCAGGAAAGTTCTGAAAATGTCTGAAAAGGTGACAGTCGGTTGGTGAAAGGTCTAGAGAATATGGTGGGTGAGGTAGAACTTCAACTCCCAATTCGTTCAATTTATGGATAGTGATTTGTGAAACGTGTGGGCGGGCGTTGTCATGCAAAAGAATCGGACCCTTTCTTTTGATAAGTGTTGGCTGCAGCTGACAATATTTTCGGTACATTTGGTCGGTTTGTTCACAGTAGGGTTCTGCTGTGATGGTTTGGCCTGGTGATGAAAAGTTATAGTGGATTACAACAGCCGATGACCACCAAACCTGACCAGAATTTTTTTTTCGCGAGGGTTCGGCTTTGAAATTACCTCGGTGGTTCCTCCAAATCCAACCACTGTCCGGAACGTCTCCTGTTATCATACATGATCCATTTTTCATCACAGGTGACAAATCCGTTCAAAAACGGGTCAATTCTTTTGCGCAAAAGCAGTGAAGAAGGAACCTCGAGACGTGCCGATTCCTGCCGGTCACTCCGATTGTGGGGCACCCAATTGTCGAGTTTTTTCACCTTCCCAATGCGTTCCAGACCATCTGCAACAGTGGATTTGCCAAGGCCTAGCTCTTCTGCTATCTCGAACTGTTTGGGATGGGTCAACCTTCAAAATCCCCCTAAAATCCTCGTCAGATATTGCTTTAGGTCGACCGCTATGAGGCTCACCTTCAAGGCTGAAATCTCCAGAGCGAAATTTATTGAGCCATTGCCGCACAGTGCTTTCTTTAGCACTATTGGGCCCCCACACCTGGTTAATTTGTTGAGCTGTTTCGATTGCGGATTGCCCCAATTTATAGCCGAAGAAAAAAATCGTCCGAAGTGCTCTTTTCACATGCTTGAAAAAATCTTGAAAAAAGGGGTTTATCAAGCAATGGTGAAACGGCAATTATACCATCAGATAGCGCAAGAAATTCTCTACAGGATGTGCTACTGAGAAGCAAGGCAGAATGAGTTTTTAATCAGCAGTGAATGTACAAAATTAGGTGCACAAAACGCTAAGAACTTTCCGGACAACCTAATAGGCTCAACGACCAAATTCGTCTTCCCTCCCCAGCGGCCAAGTGCGACCACCCCTCCCCCCCTCATGTGTTTCACACAACGATGCAGTACCCTGGCCACCAAAGCCGTCCGCAGAGGGGAGCCAAGAAAGCCGCGAAGAGCCAGAGCTGCTGCTAGCCGCACTGGAGACTCACATGTTTTGGTGTGTGTATTGATGGGGATTTTTTCGTACCTCCAAGTACCCTGTATCCTCTCTCTCAGCTATAAGAACCTGTAGAGCTGCCAGTTTCCCGTCCGATGGAGTTTGAAGAAGTCAGTTGCGTGGAAACTGTTAGACAGCGACACTTCCATGAGGCAGTTAAATTAGGGGCTCCGTTTGGGAACTTCCGCCAACGTCCAGCTTTAGCAACAGCTCGACCAAGCTCTCCAAGGTGTCAGACACGCCTCAAAGGTTACCGCGCTGTAGTTTTCATCTTCCAAAGGCAACCCCTCTCGAAGTAGCCTAATTGAAATGCTAAATCTCGACAAATTTTGTAAATGAAGCGTGCCAATTAGAGGTTTTACGACAACTGCCCATTGTAGTCGTATTGTTGGGCCATTTCGATTTTTTGAAGCGGAACGTGTTATTCAGTGGCCTGCTTATTTTTGCGTAATCGTTTCAGATAGTGCGGTAAAAATGTACTTCATGGTTTTCTGAAACAATCCATGAAATTGCTACCCTACATCTCAACTCGAAAATAGAAGATACAAGGTAGAGGGTAGATTCTAGCTTCAGCTGATAAAAATTCTAACAAATATTGCGAAATATTCTCGAAATAGGTTGAGAATGTCCGCTAAGCGTCAATAGCCTCGGGGAAGGGGGGGGGGGCACTACAACTGTAAGTGTTTGTCAGCATGCCAAACCCTGCAATTACACGGAGATATGAAAAAATTTGACCAATACAGATCCTTACCAATAATCCTTCAGCGGGGTGGGAAGGGACAAAGGCAATCCGACTAACGGTCCAGAAAGATTGACCCATTGGCTATTGGTGGGATATACACTGCACTTCCCAGCGATGGAGTGGGCGTGGCTGCGCACTTTAGTTGAACAAGGCAAAGGATGCGTTGTTCGTGGGATATTTCCATTTCAACTATAAAAAGTCGAGTACAATTCTATCTGGTACTGACAAGATAGAATGTTTATGCAGCTGTCGCTTAAAGAAATGGCAAACTTTTCCTACCTTCAGTAGCACAGGCTGCGCAGGTTTTTATACGAAGCACTCAGCCACGGACTCCTCATCTGTAGGATATGGAGTGGCACATAAACTAGAAAACTAACGGTGTTTGCGGTCCCACAAAGAGTGAGTCGATGGCGTTTGCTCTGGATGTGAAGACCAAAACTTTTGATTTTAGACGGCGAAAAACTGCAGATTTTCTCTGAAAGGAAGCTCTCTGGTAAGAAAAACAGCAGTTTAATGGATTCTCTTTTTTAAGTTGAAATACATACCCTTGATTTCTTCAATCGTGGTGGTGCTGTAATCGTAGTAGACCAAGTTCTCTTCAGAACGAATAGCATGCCTCAGATCTCGTGACTCCGAATGACACAGTAGAACCGTGCTCATCGCCTCCGTCGAACCATCTGGAAAACAATTATCCGTTTCACTTACTCCAGTCGGGACACCTCCTGAAGCTTCATTAATCTAGGAGCAGGAATAAACACCTTTGAGCTTCGGTCTGGCAGGAAATTAAAATCGTTTAAACTTGTAGATGATCGCACATCTAACTTGCCACAACGTTCGCTTTCAAAATTAGAAAGAATAAAGGCAAGCTTCAATGTTATTTTTTCGGAGTGCGCCACGTATTCTACAATAGCGTGGCATCCTAATGGCATTCGTGTGCGTCATAGTATGCCTCTACCACGAAATGGAAATGTGAGCGTTAATTTTTTCATTCTCACGAACAGGTCCTGTACCAGATGTTTTCCTTTGGTGGGATGGAAGACTAAGCTGCCCTGGGAGAATGCGATTCGGGATTTCATCCCCGGCTTTCGTGGTAACTTCCCACTAAATAGTCTAGCTCTAATATAAGCCACCTCAGCTCTTGGTGACAGGGGTAAATTTCTAGTC